AAGTTGACCCCACCATCACAATGCACAATGACAGTATAATGGCAAAAGGGAAATGCCCAGCCAGGGATGGCCTACCAGTTGAATTCAAGTTCTACGGGAGATTCTGGTCCCTCATAGCCCCGGATATCCTAAGGGTCTTTAACTTTTTTATTCTGAAGAACTGTTCCCTGGACCCTCACACTGCTAAACCTAAAGGGTATAATCACACTTCTTTATGAGAAGGCTATAAATCCGAAGTTAGAAATTAGGGGAAACTACGGGGGAGTCAGAAAAATTGAGTTATAATTGCACTATGGGCCAAGATAGAGTTTCGAATTGCAGTTTGGGCAATGTATACAACCCAGATTTCTGACCAGGTAGGGTGCCCGAACTGCTCAGTTCGGGATGTCAGTGTTGCCTGTGGGTGATGACGGATGCTCATCGGAGTGACTCCCTGGCTCAGTGGGTGGTGGGAACCAACAGTCTGCATGACTCTGCAGTGTTCAATCGTGATGTGAGTAGGTGATGTGCTGCTTTGCTCCATGTTGGATGTGTGGAGTCTGTGGACTGCCTCGTCTACGCTCTGCCACTGCCTTGTTGCCTGTCCCGCTCGCTTTGCATGTGGTTCTCTGCAAATTGCTGTGTTCGCTGTGTGGTGTGGCCCTGTTGCTGGTGTTGGACCGTGTTGCCTTGCGCTCCCCAGCTCCGATGCTGTGCTGCTCATCCCCTGATAGTGCCTTCCCTGTCCTTGCTTGCACGCTTTGTAGTTTGGTTGCCTTGTAACTTGTACTACGTGCTGCCTTGTGCTCCACTGCATGGTTGCGGTGCTACTCGACCGCTAGCCTTGTTGTCCCCTGCTGTGTGGTTGCCTTGTTGGTGTTGCCTTGGCTTCAGGACGTGGTTGGCGCACTGCTTGTCCTGCGCAGTGCACACAGTGTCATTCCTTGCAGTCGTTTTGCAGCCGTGTTGCCTCTACTGTGTAACTGCGTTGCCGTGTGTTCCGCAGGGTTGCTGCCCGCTGCTGTGTTCCGTTTGGCGGACAGTCTTCCTTGGACAAGGGTCAAAGGGTTCATGACCCAAACCATCTAATATGGAGATTCCTGCAGATTGTTGAGGGTTCAGCCTCCTGATGAGTCGGTGCAACTCCGACGAAACAGTCTGTCTGTCATCATCAGTGTTTGTTTATTTTTTTCGCTCTCCGTTTTTCCAACTTGGTATCAGTACTTGGTGCCTTTTTTGCTTATTGCTTTGTGTTGGTTACCTGCCCGCCCTCCTCCCCCATGTCCTCCACCCTATGTGACTTGCAACCTCTTGTTGTCCAGTGCCTTGTTACCTAGTCGTCAATTCCCTCTGAGTCACGGTGCTTTGCCTTAACGGCCTTTACATCGTGGTATTTCATGGGCATCTTAGCCGGGCGCATGAGGACACCTCACCTTCTAATGAGCCTTGACGGGAGCAAGCGCCAAAAGGCGTGTGAAGGGATGTGTCATCCCTCCTCTGTTGGCCACTACACCAACCTTTATGGTTATCCCATCGTTGCTCCCCGCTCGTCCTCCCTCCTCCTCCATCTTCTCTTCTATTGACCTTTGGACTTGTCCATGGGTATTGAGGGTACGTGGCATGGGACAGAGTCCCACAGAAGGACAAACGCAAGCATGGGACAGAGTCCGACAGACGGACAAACGCAAACACAGTCCAGCATAAGGTGAGTGAGTCAATCAGAAGGTTCCCGTGTCTGGGGGTTGCTTTGTTATATTACTTTACACACACACACACACCGTGTCACACGCACTTGAAAGAAAAAGGGAGTAGACATGTGTGATGATTATGAGCGACCGCTTCTATCAGCCCTCCCCTTTGAGCATGTCGGTGTACTCAACTGTAACATTAAAAGAAATCGGTAGCAGGTAATAGCAGCAGGATAAGCTCTCACCGAGCCAACTCTCATGGTCATGGACAAACGTTATGCGCCTCGACGGCTGCCGATCACTACCGCAGGAACATGTGCGACATCACATCGGCCGCACAGGCTGGCACTACATTAAAAAAAAAAAAAAAAAAAAAAAAAAAAAAAAAAAAAAAAAAAAAAAA